CTTTTTTATTTGACATACGAGTAATTTGAGTTACGAGCTCCGTCACGGAACGAATTAAACTCGTAAGTCAAGACCCCACTGTATATCCATGTGAAGTAAGACATGGTTACAGCATCGGCCAAGGCAGCCGCCAGAGCGGTCGGCGGGACGCCTTCGAAAAGCAGTGAGAACTGCTCAGGGAGGGAGCACCCAGCAAGTGAGAAGGGCTCTGGGCGAATCGGAGCATAGAACACTTTCCTGAGTGGGCACCTCTGCGTGGCCCTGAGTGACAGGCGAGACCGGGAGACGGGAGTGCAGTGCTAAGAGGAGAAGAGAACGGCCAGGAAAGGTAAGTTCTGTAATGGTTTTGAGTTACAAACCACATAGCAAAACACCTGGCATTTTCCTTGTGCTTATGGGTTACCGAGTGCCACAATCTATGCCAATGCTCTGAGCATCGCCTCCAAAGCCCTCTGCCAGTTGGCCCCTGGACGGCGGAATCAGGGAATAGAATTTAAATGCCACTACACTGATGATAATTGTTTAAAGTCCAGTACTTTGTCTGAAAAATCGTGTAAAACTTTAAATTTGACTTCAAAATATGTTCATTTGTTAATATAAAACATCATTTTAACTTGGCACTGATTGATGCCCAGCAGGCAGCCTGCTTGCTGGGTGGTCCCGTGCACTTCCAGACCCCACAGCAGAGGCGTGGGGGGTGCTGCTGGGGGAGAGCATTTTCCACTCCCTTCTCCTGAGCCTTGGGGACAGCAGGTGGCCAAGTGCTTTATGTCCTTTGTAGAAATAACTACTTGGGGATGATGAGTGATGTGTCTAAAGTTTCACATTTGTATTTTAAAGTGACACTGAAAGCGTGCTGGCTTCAAAAATGCCCAGTTTTGGGCACATTCATTTCACAGCCTCTAAGATGAGGTTAGTAAGGAGTCCATGGTTCTGTCCATCCTCTTCAGCTGTCTTAAGAACGATACTTCCCTGGCTGATGAGTGTGGTAATCGGATGGCGGAGGTCTTGCTCTGCCCAGGGGGTTGCTCCCAGCCCCTTGGAGAGGCTTGCCCGGCCTTTCCGGGGAAGGGCACACCCGGAAATGAAAGGCCGTTTTCACTTGTAGGTAAGCAGGAGCCAGAGCGGCGGCCGACTTTCCGCACACATGGCTGTCTCAGCGAAACCCCAAGGCCGCCTGGCGTTTGCTAAGGAAGCTCATTCCCTTCTCCGGGCTCTGGCTGCCTGTGTCAGAGGTGTCAGTGGAAGAGGCATCTGTTCTAAACGCAGTTAAACGGTGCTGCTCTACAGTCGTAGCTTCTGATGCGGCTTTGGAGAGGCATGGTTTAGGCGATGTTTATGCATTACGTGTGTGTGTGTAGGTGTGTGCGTGTGCGTGTGCAGTGCATACACACACATGCACACAGACACATGCACACCTGGAGACTCACAGGCCTCATGGACGCAGTGTGTTACTAAAAGTGACGATATTCGGCAGGAAATAGTACCCAGTGCTCCTTCCTCTCATACAAACCGCAGGCCCTCAGGTGGTGGGCGGCCCACACCTGACATCGCAGAGCAGATGGCACTAACGCAGGTGCCCTGAGTCCAGGTGGAATTGCTCCCCATAACATACCTTTATTACCATTAAAAGATAAATATTAGAGCAAAATGTGTGTATAAATGGAATGTTGTCAGTTGATTGCAACAAGGGCGGCGCCGCGGCCCTCGGCAGGGAGTGGGGGTGGACGCTGGGAACAGGGGCCGCAGGCACACTGCGTGCTGGGGAGCGCTCGGCTCAGCGGGCAGAGGTCGTGCCTGGGGGAGTCAGGGTGGACTGTGCGCACAGGCGGCAGGCTGGGTATGTGGAAGGTTGTTAGGTCCCTGTTGGTGTGTTTGAACTTTACAAGTATAAGTCCTGACCCGGGACCCTGTGGGAACAGAAAGAAGATGGTAGACCCTACAGATATTTTCAAGAAATAAAATAAAAGATAAAATGATTTAACTGGAGAATGTGAAAGTGGTGACTATCACATTTGGGGACTTTATGGCTCAAAGTAAACTCACAGCATTTACCGAACTGGAGAAAGTAGCCACTAACGCAATTAGGGGTGAGAAGAGGTGAGCTGGACACTAAGTCATTAAACAGATGTGAAAACACTGGGCCTCCCCGGGAGACAGGGCTTGAGATGTAGTCCCAGACGAGCAGCAAAAGCCCAGGCAGGAATGCTGTGTCGCCAGTTCCAGGGCGCGCCCTCCACACAGACAGCCACGGTGTGTGGTGCTCGCTGGAGTGGCAGCACTGCCCGCAGCACAGCAGGCTGGTGACATCAGAGCAGAACAGGGAACGCTCTGAGGCTGCGCGCTCTCTTTGCTTTGTTTGTCTCCTTGCGTCACACATTCCTTTAAAAGTCCTTTACCCTGGCAGGTCGCACACTTGGCTGGTGTGTCATCCCATACACCAAAAGGTTCTGGGTTCGATCCCTGGTCAGGGCAAATACCGGAGGCAGCCAATCAATGCTTCTCTTTCACATCGATGGCTCTCTCCCTCTCTTCCTCTCTTTCTAAAACCAATTTAAAAACATTCCCAGGTGAGGATTAAAAATAAGTAAATAAAATAAAGGGGCTTTTTGTGCCCTCAGCTTTTTCTTCATGCCTCAGTTCTCTCCAGGACTCCCCGACACTACGCACAGGTTCTCATTGGGATGCTGCTCCTTCTTATCTGTTTATTTCCTTTACCTCTGAACAAAACAAAGCATTCCCTGTACAGCCCCACTAGCCCCTCTGTTTCCCACCTAAATCAGTGTGATTGTATTATTAGAATGGGTTTCCATCGTTCTTAGCACAAATTGCTTATCTCTTATCTCTTGTCTTTGATGTTCCTTTTATTTCCACCTCATAAAATCTTAATGGTACATACTGAGCCATTCTTACATTTCTATGGGAAAAACTAGAGGCCTGGTGCATGAAATTCGTGCATGGGTATGGTCCCTGGGCTTGGCCTGCAATCAGGGCCATCTTCCCCAGCTGCTGGCAGCCAGCCCAGCCCCCCACCACCACCCACCCCTAGTTTCCTGTTCACCATTGGGCAATAGGAACCTACTGGCCAGGGGGGAGGGGGGAGGAGGGGAAGTGGGAGGTACCAAGAGGTTGGCCATTCCCACCCACTTGCCAGCTCTGTCTCCCAATGCTGGTCACCCTCTGTGTGGAGCGATCAGCAGGGTGGGGGCCTTGGCCTGGCACCACTGGCATCCACAGCCACCCAACCTCAGTTCCCCATTCCCCATTCCCCATCAGGCAATCAGAGCCTGGCCGCTGGGAGAGGGACTGAGAGGTTGGCCAGCAGGCCCTGATTGGGCGATCAGGGCCTCCAGGCTGGGGGAAGCTCCTGCGTTGAGCATCTGCCCCCTGGTGGTCAGTGCATATCATAGCGACCGGTTCTACCGTTCGGTTGATTTGCATATTACCCTTTTATTATATAGGATTAGGTCCACTTTTGTTATCACTCATCTTCCCTGTTGCTCAGCCAACATCTTAGTTCTAACTCTGCCTTCCCATGTGATTTATTGCCTGTCTTCTCATGTGATTCATGACCTCCACTCTAATTTCTGTTCTTTTATGTGTCCCTGTGCAGAATTCTGTCTCTGACTTTTATCCCATGCTCTGAACCTTCCTTTTAAAGGGTTCTTGATCCTTGAGATCAGCCGATGGGTTGTTTAACCTTGTCTGTCCCACTACTTGGCCTTGGTTCCCTTCACACGGCAGCTGCCCCTCCAACCAGTTCTGCCCCCCAACCCTCAGCTGCTTGTCAACCTCCTGGAAATTCCTCTTGAGCCACAGGAACCACACTAGAGACGTGGAGTGGGGAATCCCTGACTCTACAAGTCAGCAGGCAGCGTGGAAGGGGAATTCCTCCATCAGAACTGGAAACTCAAAATCAGAATAATTTAGAGAAATTTCCAGTGCTCTCACTGACTAGCTCTGTGTCACAGAGCAAAAGACAAAGCCCAGGAGCTCAGGCTGCTCATCTGTAAAATGGAAAACAGAATCTATGCAAACCCAGCCAGAGAGGCCTTTGAGCAGTCAGATGAGCTGAGACCTGAGAAAGCACTTGGGAAGCGACCGGGTAAGAGGCTCTTCCTATTGTTCTTTGCTGTTGATCTCTTTTCCTCGGCTGCAGTGGTGAGAGGGCTGCTCCTGGAACTCTTGGCTGGAACTTGGAGGCCCGGGCCACGTGGAGGCAGGAGCCCCTCGTCCTTGCACAGTGATAACCATCTAACAGAGGCTCACACTCCTGCCGCGCCCCAGTCCCTCATGGTGCAGAAGTGATTATGATAGTCTTTGCTTAAATTGGTAAGCGCCCTCACACTGAGTTGCCACTAAAAAAAGTCTAATAATATGACTCTTATGCTTCACAACCTTCTGTTCAGTTGTGCCCGCACTCACTCACTCCCTCTGCAGAGGGCAGCCCCTGCCTGCTGGGGGCCGGAGCCCAGAGATCAAACACAGCCAGGCGCATGGGCCCCTTCAGCTGGGCCTTGCTTCCTGCATGGATGCTTTGCTTCAAGCTTCTTAAATGACACTTCCCTTCCCCGCCTGATTCCTGCACCTTCTTCAGAGCGCTGCTCGCACTGGAGGGCACGCCTGCCTCCTATCAGCAGAGTCACGGCCTGGGGGGCGTCTACCGGCGGAGATGCTCCTGCGTCCTTACACTGCGCGCCCATGAGAGAGGCTGGGCTGATTCCCGGCGTGTCCAGGACCTGGCCTATGTCTTGGCACAAAGGCTGCTCTGGACAACCCCGGAGAAGGAGTGACCTACACACCGAACACCGCACTACGTCCAGTCCAGGGCCGCACCGACGCAATGACGGAGGTCTGAGCTCGCAGCGGGGCGCTGCGCTGCGCGGGGGCGCTAGTGGTGCCGACTTGT